ACAGGGAAAACACCACCAGAGGAATATAGGGACCATGGCAAACGTATAGAGATGATTTTATGAGAAGGCTTATTTGTTTGCTGTCCTGTTCAGTGACGATCAACAAATACTGTGTCTTGAAGGGCTGAGTGAAGTAGCCTGTAGCAAAACTTACAGAGCTGTCAGCACAGGGGAGTTTACATGTGAAAGTGCAGTGATGCAACATGACATTGAGAATAACAGATAATGGGGAGTTACACAGCCTGGAAGCTTTCAGCTGAGTCAGATTTTGCTTCTTTTGAGTACTTCAGTGAGGAGCTGAGTGCTGGGACATGAGCAGTACCAGATGTGGCATGGAATAGCTACCTGGCAGGGGTCTGCTGGCATTCAGGCTGCCAGGGACAGCCGTGGAAAGAGCAGCTTGCATTTGGCCTACAATGTACTCAGCTCCCACTGAGAACCTGGCATTTATGGGTGGTATTGCATCCCACTTGAAACCTAACCCCCATGTTGTTTATCAGAGATCGCATCCTAGTGAATAGGAGAAGAAGAGGGAGAAGCTGCAATCAACCTCTCAGCAAAATGTAGGAAGTATTTTGCAGGCCCAGAGGCTTAATTTGGAAGGAACCATGATCTCCAAATTTTTGTGGACACAACATAACTAACCTTGATCAAGTGTGTGACATCTCAGCTGTTTTCATGCCATTTACTGAAATGGGAGAGGAGCTGGAAGGATCTTGTCTTTTAAATTAGGAAAAAAACCCCAAAATCTACAATTGGAGACTTTTTTCTCAGTGTGTCAATGGCACTCAGAAGTAACTGAATATCCATTTCTTGTTTCTCAGATGATCACTAATCCAAGTCCTAGTTGCATTCTTTTCTTAAAAATTAAACAAGAGGGCACCATAAAACTGAGCTGTTGCTTTGCCAGCGAAATATTTATACGAAGGTTTTCAGTTTCTGGCCATAAATGAGAAGATACAGGAAATAGGAGATTTTGATTAAAACCTCGTGAAAGTAATTTGGACTTTTTGACTTTCATTAAACTGTCTGGTCAAAAAGGATAGTGTGATGAGATAAATTTTTGTCTAGGATCAATTTAAGCACTTTTTTCACTGCCAGAATCTTGGGACATGAATCTGGTTTCAGTTCCATCAGCTTTACCCTAGTGTTATCCTGTTGACTTGACTGGCATTGTTTCTGATTTACATTATTGTAAGTGAGCTCAAGAATCACTTTCTTTGTCTTCAGGAAACAGAATAGCCATTAGGGGAAATACAGGACTGTACTTATTTAAGTATACAAGGAACATAACAGGTTTCTGCAGGTGTTTCTGAAGAGTTAGCAGAATATTCTTTGTCACGCACTCAGATGTAATGGTCTTAATCATGGTGTGTGGCTCTCCTGCTGCCACAGGACTTTTAATATGCTGGAAAAGGTGTCTCTGTTCCCCTGTAAAAGCTGAATTTGCTTTTACAGCCATTACCCGTCATGCAGCAGGAGAACAGTGTTAATAACCATTGCTTCAGGGCTGCAGAAATCTTTTGCATCTCTCCAGGGAAGAAGCAACTTTTTCTTCTGTAACTGGCCAAAGTGTTACCTTTGGAAGCTTTCCCTCTTGGGATCCAAATGCTCTCTTTCACTCATAACTTGTGCTACCTAATTGTTCTCCAGGGAAGCAAACGTAGGTTGGTGAGGTTGGGTTTTGGCTTGTAATTGTTCCTGGCTTTGTCTGAAGGCTGTAGGTATGCACAGGACTGAAGCAGGGAAAATGGCAGTCATGGTTATTTATTGGGAGTATTGGGAACTGTGAACTCTCAAGGAAAATGTCAGGAAGGATCATACAAATGCTCCCTAGTACTGTGTGCAGAGCTAGAAAGTGTTGGGTATGCTCTTCCGTTACATGTGGTGCAACTGCTCTGCCCTGAACAATATAAAGGGCTGCATAAAGGACACCAAATATTTTGCAGGTGTCCTTTATCCTAGAAAACCTTTGGAAATGTTGAGCCTGTGGAAAAAAGTGGGGTTTTGTTCTAGAAAATGAAGTGCTCTAGTAAAGTGTTTGCACTTTTGTCCATGTAAGGGATTAAAGGCCTTAGTCCATGTATGGGATGTCAGTGTATTTGTGATTTTACCTACCTTGATATTGTTAGCTTGCTCTCAGTTCGTTCAGAGGAAGCAGAGATTCAATGGTCAGCAATGAGTGGTTTTGAAAAACCAAGTGGTGACTGTATCTCCCACAGACTTGGAGAAAGGAACCACAGTTCGTGCCATTTTTAAATACTTCCCACATTGTCATATAGTTTCTTTTACTCATTTTTCTCCCTTTTCCCTTAAACAATTAATTTCTTCTTTCTGAAAAAGTTAGCTGATGCTTACAGGTTTTTTTTAAATGTACTTTGATCTCAGACAAAATTTGATGGCATTATTACTAATAATGTATCATGAGCATGATCTTCAACGCTTAACCTCAAGGCAGCTTATCTCCCGCTGGGAAATGAATTCCCAACGAGAAATGAAGTTGCCTGGCATGACAAAGAATCAGGTCACTTGGTCTAAATGACTAATTACGGGGTTTAGAATTTAGCTTTTGGATCCCAATTTTGGCCTATAAATGTAGAACAAGTTCTAGATTTAATTAGTAGTAACATCAATTAGATATCAATTTTACTCATGCAACTCCATTCACATCAGAAGACACTCCAGATTCACAGCAGTACAAAGACTCTGGAGTTCAGCAGTGTTTCTCTACCCTATAAATCAGAGAGGTGTTGAAGATAACCAGGTGTCTGAGCAGTGGACTCACACAGCCATGTACAAGCTTTGGGCTGCCAATGAGCTTGTCCACACAACCCACTAGAAAGCACAGGTATTAATTCAGATGGTTCCTAGCCTAAATCAACCGACATACTGCTAATCATTAGGCTTTGGTTTATATCTGAATATTCCTTTAAAAGCCTTTTTTATCTGTTTCCTCTTTTTTCCCCAGTTGTTTCAATGCAGCAGCTGTAGGACTGGAAAACAGGATTTTTGATTTTTTTCCCTAGTAATTTCACTGCTTCACTCTTGCCTTTATGTACTCTCTTGATATAAAACTGGGACTTTGTCAGGGGCATCTGCAGTTAGGAATTTCTGTAAGTTGTCTAAATTACTGAGACTTGTTCTACTGTTCTTAGCTCATGTTAACCTCAGTGGCCAAACAAGCTGAGGAAATCCGGCTTCGTCTCAGTCTCTTCATCTTCTAGATGAGGGCATGATGGGACAGGACAAGGGGAATGGCTTGAACCTGCCAGAGGGGAGACTGAGATGAGCTCTTGGGCAGAAGTTCTTCCCTGTGAGGGTGCTGAGGCGCTGGCACAGGGTGCCCAGAGAAGCTGTGGCTGCCCCATCCCTGGCAGTGTTCAAGGCCAGGTTGGACACGGGCTTGGAGCAACCTGCTCTAGTGGAAGGTGTCCCTGTCTGTGGCAGGGGTTGGAACTGGATGAGCTTTAAGGTCCCTTCCAACACAAACCAGTCTGGGATTCTGTGATAATGTATGAGCTTATCTACCTCTCAAGAACTGTGAAACTTCTTTCTTATTAGCAATATATTCTCTCTGTAATTAAGAGTGGGTGTTCCCTTGATATCTTTTGCTGAGGAAATAGAGGAATATAAGGAGGAAATGACAAAATATTTCAGCAAGGACATGTTCTGCAGATCATCTGTGAAGTTTGAACAGTGAGACTGCATTACATAGCATGCACAGACGGTTCTGTAAACCATGGAACAAACTTACTTTTTCATGTCACAACCAGGATCATATTCACATTTCAGCAGTGGGAAGGAAATGATAAAAGACTTAATTCAGCTTTCACTATGCTGGAGATTTTCTCTGGCTCCACCTCTGCCCCTTCCTCTGTCCTCATTCCAGTGTTTTTGAACTCTGCCTGTGATGCATTTCAGTGCTTGCCAAGATATCCCCAGCTAAGGGTGAGTTACTGAGAACATCTGGCCAGGAATGAGTGATGATGCTCTGTGACCCACCCCCTCAGCACATCTGGTGGTCATGGCCATGGATGGGGAACATTACTGTTAAGGCTTCTGCAAGGAAAGAGGATTTTGTCAGCTAAGACTGGATTCATTGAAAATACCCAAATCCAATTGGTTATATAAAGGGGCTTTCATGTCAATGGGAGAAATGCCTATAAATAGGTACACACACACACACATATATACACTTTTTATATAATTACAGTATACTGTCAATGAATAAGAAAGTGGACTGCCTAAAAACTGTCTTTATAGATAATTAGTCCCAAAGGCCCTAAACTGGTTAACCAACAAGGCATACTGCAAAAGACCTCTCTTTGGTAAGGGCTTTTTGAAGAGGCTGAATGTGCATTCTGTCTAAAGGGAAGAGAGGATGAAAAGAGTTTATGTGCTTGGTTGGCAGAGTTCCTTTTTGAAATGATTGTTTTAAAACTCCTGGATCATTTTTTGTCCTTCTAATAATGAATTAAGGTGTCCAGGCACTTTTGTGAGCATCTTTCTATATTATTTATATATAAATCCATAAATACCAAGGCTCTGCTCTTGTTTTCCTTTGCTGGTTAAAAAAGAAAAGATGGATTTTTCAGACAGCACAATGAATCATCAGTGGAGTGAAAACACTGGGCAAAATCTTTTGTTTAAGAGAATGGCCTGTGCACAGTTCAGGCCAGCACATTTTTCATGGGATGCAAGGGAGCAGTTCAAAGAATTGGCAAGGAGTGTGTCCTGCATATTCATGAGGCTGGGCAAGGAGGTGAAGGTACAGGAGAAGGCAGAAAAGCAATGTGAGGATAGAGTGGAATGTGGAGCGAGTTACCACGGTATCCTATTTTACTGCTGTTTGACGTAAAGCTCCTTTGCTTTTACACAACCGCTGAAATTGAATGGAAGCAGCTCAGGGCATAAATAACGAATGTGTCTTTTACACATTGAGAGAGGAGAATCTGCACCTCATCACAGAGATAACACACCCCTCTCTTCTCTCCCCGTAGTCTCCAGCCTGCGTTCCTGAAGTCAGTCAAGATCTTATCCAACAGACAGAGGAGAAACTCGAAAACAGCCCCTGCAAAGAGCTATTCTCTCACTGTACAAAGTAAGTATAACTCGATACCCAAAGATATCAGAGCTGCAGTCAGCAGCTTGTAAGGCATGTGTCAGGTAAAAGACAGACATTTCAATCTGAACCTGAAGCAGGTATCTTCGGCTTATGTTCATAATCCTACAGGCACAGCTGACAAGCGGTGAAGTCATTTCATCTGAGCAAAATGTAATAAATATTTCCATGCCATTATATACACTGCACACAGGCACTTAGTGTTTCAGGTATTTGACGGAGTGTTCTAGCCAAGTAAACCAGCCGTGGATTTCATGCTGTGTGAAAAGAGCTACAATGATAACGCATCCAAAGAAAACATCTCTGTTTCAAAGCGCATAAAAATTAAGTGGCTATACAGCCCATTTAGACAGAGGAATGTGCAAACTTGCTCCGCATGGCTTTTCCAGAAAATCTTCACCAGGAGAATGGGGCGCTTTTTAATGCCTTCTGTCTGCCTGTGGCGTTCAAAACGAACGTGCATTATTTCATCCTTTGTCTGGGAAAAGGCTTATCAGTTTTTGCAGCGGCGAGGCGATTCGCGCTGTTGTGCACTAAAGCTCCAGGTATGCGCTCTGCGTTTGCAAGCACTGACCCGAGGCTGTTCGCGCCAGTAGATCATAAACGACTGGAAATATGAAAAGGAGGGATCATCGCACGCTGGCCCGTGTGGTTTCTGGCTGAGCACCGTTTGTTTTCCCTGGATGATGTCATGGGGATTTGTAAAATTCGCTCCACTGTCATTCATTGTTTTGACTCATTTCATTGACCTTTTCTGGTTCCAGTTATTCTTTGCGTTGGGACGAGATGTGGGTTATTTCTGGCCTTCTCTTACAACTCAACCAGTTTCCTTGCATTGGCCTGGTGTCGTGTAGAGATGCTCATGTAACTCGCACCAGTTGTGTGTGCCAGTCCCAGTGACAAAGGCAGAGCTGTGCTCAACGCAAACCCCCCTGATGCCTGTTTCCAGTTCTCAAATTGGTTTGAAAGCTGACAGTTCCCTCTAAAATGCACTTTGTTGTTGCCAAAGAGGGGAACTAAAGAGCAAACAACTGCTGAAAGGCAGCTATTGTTCTGTAAAATGCGCACAGCTTTTAATTAACTGAATGGAATAGGCTAGCGTTGGACACCACTTAATTCAGGCTCGTATTCACCAGCAGCCATTCCTTCATCTCAGCTCAAACAGATAAATGAGCCAGGTTTGAGACCTTGTTAATAAATATGCTGATCATTTCGCACAGACTGAAATGGGGTCAAAAGGAAGTTTTAAAAACTTGCTGTTAGTATTTACTAAATGTTCTGAATAATGTTAATTTTGGAAGAGTTCACAGTCAGACCAAAAAAAGGGAGGCATACATACGAATATAAAGCTTCCTATCCTGTTGGAGC